GTGTGTGTGTGTGTGTGTGTGTGTGTGTGTGTGTGTGTGTGTGTGTGCGCGCGCGCTGTAATCAGTAAGATGCAGGGCTGGAGATGGAACACAGCAGGCTGCACTGCTGAGAACAGAAATAGTGCTTTTACTCCCGCTGCTGCTCCAAAAATCAACTCATTTCTTCTGTGTGTGTTTTTTGAGTGTGTCCACGTGCATGTATTTGTGTCCATTTGTTCAGCACATGCGTTTGCTGACATATGTATAAGTTTGCACATAGATAACAAACCTGTCTATCACTTTTTACCGCCTTGAACAGAGCCCTCGCAGGTGCATGTGTTCTTGTGCAGCCGTCATGTTTTTGGCCCTCTATCTCAGTTACACAATATCATAATTGAAGTTGGATGCGGACCACCTTGCAGCTGTTGACCGCAGTCTGTTTTAGAGCCTTGTTGATGATGATTGGAGGTAATATGCCTACATGGAGCAACATGGTGCCAGAGTTGCAAGTATAATTATACTGTATGAGACCAGGGGAGAGGATGAGAGGGGGGGGGGGCATTGAAAGTGACTGGTGACAGACTATTTATAGCCGATCCTAACTGTTTCTACATGAGTGGCTGGTACTCAAGCAGAGAGGCTGTGATTGGTGGATGAGTGTTTGGCTCTCAAGATGAGAAATTGTGGTTGGTTTCTTGACTTAATGATGTCGTATATATTCATTTTTCAGACTATCGTTTTGAGACCTGTGTATTATTATTCCTGTATGTAATACAAAATAAGTAATGTGGATTTATTACCTTTAGTAAACATGAGTTTATGGTCTTAATCGCCAAGTTGTAATAAACCACAATGTTCCTTTTATGTTGCTCGTCTTTTGGCTGTTTATCTGGTATATTAGACTGGACAAATCCCTGTTTTAACTTGTGTCCCGCAGGTACTACAGCGCCACCATCCTGCAGATGTCGGGGGTGCGGGACGACAGGCTGGCGATCTGGCTGGCCGGGCTCACCACCTTCACCAACTTCCTGTTCACCCTGCTGGGAGTGTGGCTGGTGGAGAGAGTGGGGCGCAGGAAGCTCACCTTGGGCAGTATCGTAGGTAAGTCCTTCAAAATGTCCCCGTCGGGTAGTGACATCTGAAGACCCCAAAGGTCATTTTCCTGCACGTTATGTGTTGTAATTCTCTGGACAGGGACATGTTTGAGTTTGAGTCTGCTGGCCATCGGTTTCCTGATGACGGCCCAGCACAGTCCTCCTGTCACCTTCCACCCATTAGACCCATCTATGGCCAACTCTACCTGCTCCAAATACCAGTAAGTACTTACTCGCGGAGTTCAGTTTGGTTTCAAGTAGCATTCATTTCGCTACAATGGAAACAATGAACACTCAAAAATAATAAAACACTATTGTTACAATTTAAATATAATCTGTTAAATCTACTCAGGACTTGACTGATTACTCCCACTGCTAATTAGCATCCCAATTAGCAATTTGCTGTTTTATTCCCCTCTCCAGCAGCTCTTCACTGGGGGTTTATCATTATATCACATTATGCACAAGTATAGAAGAAAGCAGAGAGCTATGGCAAGACCCCCATTCGCCCAAGAGCACGTCTGCTCTTAGTAAAAGCACTCAACACTTTGCAGTGTCAGAATATCAAATCCAGGAGAGCACACTCAGAGGTGGGGCGCTTCAGAGGATAAAATGCGTCTAAAAGGATGTTTTTGCGGCGAAGATATTGCGAGTTTTCACACATACATTAATACAGATAGCGAGGTGGCAATGAATGCCAGCATATACATAAATACAGGTCAGATTAGTGCCCTTTCACCCACCAGGAGGATCATACATTATTTAAGAGCCAACGTTAATTCTGTATTTCCTCTGACAGATTTATTAATAACAGGATAAAACAATGGGTCGTCATGCTGAGTTACTGTTGTTCATGTCCTTGTGCCTCAATAAGCCTCCAATCCTTAGGACTGAATCGGCTACAATTCACTTCATTGTCGCCACGAAGGGCAAACACGCGCTGTCAGACAGAAGGCTGTGTGGGTTGTTGTTTTTTTTCCGTGCGAGCCAGAGATCAGATGCCTTTTGTGTCCCAATTTACTCTCACTCACACAGGACGAGGCTCATGTGTAATGACGTTCTTTCATCATAACAACAAACAACGCCTAATGGACTCGCTCTCCGGCACCCACACACACGAAAACACGGAGGTAATTTGAAGAGATGAGTGCTTTTACCGCACTGTAGTGGCTTCATTGAGTTCACTTTACTCCGATACGAGCTGACCAGAGCACCAGAGCCACTGCGCCTCTCGCACTCTTTGCGGGTGGGACGTCTCATTTTGGGAGTGTGTTCTTTTAAGGAGCCTCCAGCGGGATTTGACTACAGGTTACTAGCCTGGGAAATGACGCGATCTCTTTGATTTGTGACCTTTATTAGATTTAATAATTGACCCTGCAGTTGAGAGATGCATACATGATGCCATGCTAGAAGACATGGGAGTGGATAAGCGGCATTGTTTTTGTATTGTATAGGTAATTAGTCAAGTGTGATGGGGTTTAAACTTTCCAAAATCTTATGAAGAGAAGCTGCTAATGTTACCCTAAACTCTGCTATAGAAGCATCTAGAGCCAGCTTCCACACAGGGCAGTTTAAATTAGTATAGATTAACACATATTATTCTGTTCCTTTCAATTTTACTCTGATTTTGTTTTTAGAAAGGGAAATTGGTCAGATCGCCGAAGTTTAACAGATTTTATTACAGGTTTTGCACCCTTTTTTTTATTATTCTCAACCAAAACTTTTGCGAACACATAACATTATTTATGATATTTAAATTTTAAAAAGACCAATGTTATTTACGGCATCATTGCACGTCTCTCCGCACCTTCCCTCACTATTTACCTCTGCTTCCCTCCGGTACTAATACACGGTTTTATTTCCATCCAGCCGACCTCAGTGTGAAATCCGAGCAAGGTACCCTGCACACAGGGAGGCGGCAGCCTGCAGAAAATAGACCTCCGAAACAAGACACACATTTCATGCACTTCCATCAGGATCACAACAATAACAACAACAAATGGAGCTGCGACGTGCCCTTGTGAATAAACAAGGCTCCCTCATGTGGACTGCTCATCACATAACCGACTATGGCACAAGACAAAGATATAATAGAGGGATAGAGATTTAATGACGGTTAATCCCACACCATTTGTACTGTGCTCTTAATTTAGATTTATCACTTCCTGCATGTGGGGAACGGTCTGTAAATTCATTTAGTTTGGGTAATGAGGCAAGTCTCAATTAGAGGGGGTGGAATGCTGCTTTCCGTTACAGCAGTGAAGGAGCACAGGGGGATGGATACGTGTACATTTAGAGTTGGAGTGCAACTCGGTACTATACTTTTAAATGTACGTTTGTTAGAAGCGAAGGAATGTGTGACTCGGAGGAGCCACCGTCGCGGTGCGATCGATTGTGTTCAGGGACATTACAGCTAATGTATCTGCCGTTTGGGCCTGCAGGCTGTGCGAGCCGTGCATGCTGGACCCCGGGTGCGGCTTCTGTTACCGTGAGAACGCCTCGGCGCTCCTCGCCTCCTCCTGTGTGCCAGTCAATAAGGCCTCCACCGAGCGAGCAGCGTGGGGCAGGTGAGTCACAATGGTGACACTATGGTCTGAATGTGCATTTTAGAGTTTTGGTTCAATACGAAATGATACCTTGAATTGATGTCAGGAGTGATTAGCATAAGCCAATGAGTGTGCCTGCTTCTTCCAGATGCTCCAACTCCAGCTTGATGAGAGATCAGACCTACTGGGCCTACAACTACTGTCCCACCTCCTACTCCTGGCTGGTCTTACTGGGTCTGGTCCTCTACCTGGCTGCTTTCGCTCCAGGTACATCTGTCATTCCAGTGTCACTAAATTCACATTGCTATGTTAAATTTAAAATCAAATATTGAGCAGCGATATGCAGGTTGAGATGGGAGCTTCTTTCATCTCCCCGTAAGCAACACTCTCGCCATAAGGTCCCGTAAGAAGCTCTTCTAGATGACATACTCTACCTCTCCTCTGAGCCTCCAGTTTTTAAACGCATCTCCAATCTCTCTTAATCTCTCTCAGGGATGGGCCCAATGCCGTGGACCATCAACTCGGAGATCTACCCTCTGTGGGCGAGGAGCACGGGCAACGCCTGCGCAGCCGGAGTCAACTGGACCTTCAACATCCTGGTGTCGCTCACCTTCCTGCACCTGGCTCAGTACTTCACCTACTATGGTTAGTGTCTGGGCTGCAGACGCTTTGAGCCAATTAGAGATTTTATTCTTTCTTCTTTTAGTGGATAAAAAGAAAAAAAAGGACAAAAAAAGGCGTTAATGTAAAAAAACACAATAGAAATGGCAACGGTATTTAGCGTAATGCAGTTTGAAATGCCATTCTGCTTTGATCACAGCGGTCAGGAAATCTCATTAAACCCTCTGTCACTGTGTCTCTGTATGAACACTTGTTTATCCATGTCTCTTTGTGGTGATGCCATTTGTTCCTTCTTCTTTAAAGTCATTGTATGGTGACCAGCAACCTGAAGGTAATAATTCAACCTGGTAAAACACTTTCATTCGTCAGCACACAAACACACATTTCCTCTGAGGTTTGTGGGCAGTCGACATCCAACATGATCACCTGCCCTCCGGATCACCACCAGTGTTTCTTTTTCCTGCAGATGAATGAAAACGAATGTATGTTTATAAAAAGACAACTCTGGAAAGCAGCGCCAGCGTGTTTCTTGTGTTTGTGGGCGGCGGCCCTCTGTAACGGGCGTGTTCTTTTCATTCCGCCTTCCCAGGAGCTTTCTTCCTCTACTCCAGCCTGGCTCTGTTGGGCTTCTTCTTCATCTACGGCTGCCTGCCGGAGACCAAAGGCCGCCGCCTGGAGGAGATCGAAGCGCTGTTCGAAAACCAGCTCTGCTCCTGCGGCGCCTCGGATTCGGACGAGGGAAGGCAGGTGGAATACATCCGAGTCAAAGGTTCAAACTACCATCTATCGGACAACGACGCATCAGACGTGGACTAGGGGGAGGTCGAGGGTTTTGGTTAGCTTCGGGGGATTACTTAAACATGCAGAGTGTAATGTCAAATTTTACTTTCTTTTTTTTAATGTGTGAGCTGAGCAGCCACTGTTGGTTAGGAATCACAGTTTCAAAGGCCTTTTGCTTGGAGCAGGATGTGACATGTGAGTGTGTTCACTTCCAACTCAGTCAAATCGATGACAGGTCAAAATGACACGTCGGCCTGTTCTCTGAATTAACTGAGTCTGGAGTCAAACCTGCTTTAGTCCACAGCTGAATTTTCAACCATGCACTACAAAATGTCTAAATTACAAAAAGGCTTAAACGTTGCCTTTTCCACACATCGCAGACAGGAAACCCGACTGTTGAACACACATTGCATGTCCAAAATACAAGGGACATTCCTCTCTCATGAAGTCCACCGATGAAGAGGCTGCAGCTCAGTGTCAGTATAAGATGTTCCTAATATTTTGTACATTTGTTGACTATAATTTATGATTTTTATATACGATGTTGTACGTACAGTATAAGAAGTCAAACTCAGCCATCCTCCACCATTAGGTCAGGACACGTTTCCATCGAGAGCTCCATTTATAACGCTAAATGTCGTCTTGAACCCACAAAAGTTTTTGTTGTCGATCCATAGTACCATTATGCCTTTCTATATGAAACACATCTCAGTTACATGTTGCTGAAAGCTTGTAGCGTTAGCGCACTAATGTCAGTTCCTCATCTGATGGCAGTCGTTGTTAGCGGTATATTTTTATGAAAAGCAAACACCAGAGATGTACAGTATATTGTCCCAAGCTCAGAAAACTGGTTTTGTCAGTTGGTGCCTAAATGAAACCACTCTTCAATCTAGTAGCACTGAAAGGAAAAACAAGTTATGTTTCTATTTATTTAAATATTATTTTGCGACAAAGTATTGCTTCAGCGTTGTTTCGGTCTTGCAATTCTGTGGAAGAGTACCGTCTCGTGTCACGAAGTCAAAACCTACACTATGGCCCCATGTTATAAACATGTGATGTCCAGCAAAGACCGTGGTCGACATGTTTTCATATGGAGACCTGACTTGTATTCTCGTTCTATCCTAGACATGATAATATTAGTGCCTGTGTATTGTGAAGGTCCCTAATGGCCGTTTTTCAGTCCAAATCCCTGAAGTGGATGTATTCCATCATGTTATGATAATTACATTTTTTTTTTTGACATGTACATATTTGCATTTCACCTGTGCTGAATGTTATATTTTTTTACTATAATTTCATGTATTTTTGTCTTCCTCCATAGCCTTATGTACAAATAGCAGAGCATATCATTTACGTGGTTCTCGTGTCAAACGTCGAGGAGTTGGCTTTAGCGTAGTTTGCCAATGTTGTTTTGTAAAGAAAATAGTGTGAGGTTACTCCTCCTTAGTCAAATACACACAAAAAAAACTGTTTGGAAGTAGACTACGGAGTAACTTTGTGTATTAAATCAAAAACAGGTAAATCGTGCATTAACAGGCTGCGCTGTTACTGTGTCCAGTGAACGGGTGAAGTTCCATCATTTTTTTTCTTTTTTTTTGACACGTGGGTCTGAACCCATCATGAATTAATGAGATACAATACCTCTTTTTAATAAACTTTTCAAATAAGAAGCTGTTCATCAAATGCCGTGGCACAATGCAATGACATTTTTCCGTGACCCGTTCAAAGTTGTTGGAGAAAAGTAGCCGAGTATGATTTCAAATGTGAAGGTATTGTTTTATGTTAGATATTCATTTGACCGAAGATGAGCCGTCTTTAAACCACGCAAACTAGTTTTGTACTGAACGTATTATTACAGGTATAAACAAAACACACACAGATGAAGCTCCGTAACACAGATTGTGCAATTATACTTGTGTTGACCAAAAATATTTTGCCTGATTGTTTCAGCTATTTGACATCCAGCTGTGTTAACACCTGTCCTCTGCCGCGGTTCGGGGGACGTTCAATGTGTACTTCTGGTGAAATGGTTTTCTTTTTCTATGTGAACCGACTTCTGTGTGTTTCTACAGTTTACGAGGAACTACAAAAATACCAATAAAAAAATGAGTGCTGTATAGTATATTTGATTATCGTTCAAGCTGTATATGTTTTGCTAGAGTTTATATTCTATAAATTAAAAAAAAGTGGATATCTTAATGAAATCTTAACACTTGAATATGTATATGGGGAAAGAAATAAACTTATGAATCAGAGTCACGCTTTCGGGGCTTTATTTCACACGGTCTCTTTCACAACACTTTTTGAACAAACACTTTGAATATTTCATGTGGTTTATATGCTTAAAACAAACTATTAAATATAAACAAAAACAAAACAACATGCACCGAACAGGCATGAAACAGTTCCTGCGTATTTTCTTCCATTCACTTCCTTACTCGGTTACTTCCTTCCTCTGTTTGAGCAGGAGCAAGATGTCAGCTATTTCCTGAAGTGTGGCGGCCTCTTCTTGGAGTCCGTTGGAGGCCCTGGTGCTGGATGTGACCTCCTACATCGCTTCTTTGAGAGGCCTTTCGTCAGACGCCCATTTTCCTGCTGCCCTCTCTCATCTCTGCCCTCTCTAGTCTCCTTTCCTTAATCAGAAACAACACAACATGCGCGGTCAACCAACTACCCCGGTTCCGTTCTGTATTTATCAGAGGAATTTGTATGTAAATATGAATCTATAGTCTTCATTCACACATGCAGTGACACAGTCTTTCCCTATCCTGTTGTACCTCTGCCGTCGGTCATGCTCAGAGCATCTAGAAAGGGGTTCGTGTGTCTCTGCAGGGTCGCTCTGCCATCGGTGCATTTGTTTGTAAAGCTGCTCCCTGACAGGGAACCGGACTGCTTCTTGTGCTTCTCTCCACCCCTCCACCGGTCTGATGAAGGTGTGCAGCGCTTGGCTCTGCAGTGGTGTCAGTTTGCCTCCCTGTGGCCGGATGCTGCACTGACACGTCAACAGGTGGCGGGCAGGAGTTGAACGCAGCGGCCTCTATGGCAACAACTTCGCACTGAGTCAAGGCGTCCTGCCTCTCGAGGTTGTCGACAGTTTGGGTTCCCGCGTCTCGGGTTTCGTTGGATGTTTTCATGCAGGCGCACAGCTCTGACCTCTGAGTCTGAGCCAGAGGAGGTGCGAACTGAGGAGTGTTGCTTCCCGTCTGTTGGCTGTTACCTCCGAAGGCTTGAACTTGGAACACGGCATTCTCCATGACTTCCTGATCATCTCCGGTGTTCCTTCTGGGATTCAGGAGCGGGGTGAGAGGCCTGGGTTTGCTGTGCCTTTGTTTAGGATTCCCCTGGGAGCCCATGTATGAGTGGAGGCTATCGGCACAAAAGGCCTGGTCCATATGTGAGGAGGCCGCCTGAAGACAGCATTCTTCATCCTAAAATAGAGTTAGAAAAGGGAAACAAAGCAGTGTTCAGAAATGACAGAGAGGACTGTCTGCTAGTCACACTCTGAGGTTAGTCAAAAACAATTGTAATATTTAAACTACACTGTTCTGTGGCTGTTTTCTGCAGTCCCTGTGCAACAGCAAGATGGACCAAGCCTCTAAGTGTAGCCTAACTTACATCATTTGAGTCTGAACTGAGGTAACCTCCGCTACAGGAGTAGCTTGGCGAGTATTCACAGCCATTCATGGGGCCATCGTCGCGTTCGAGACATGCTGCAGCAGTGAGAGAAAAAAACATCACATCTATTCAATTCATTGTCTTTTCTCCGGCACACACACAATAAATGGGTTGCTTAATTGGAGATGCTTAAGAAACTTACAAAAGCTCCCGTCGGTGCAGTTGGAGAGCTGTGAATGAAACAGAATTAACATGTGGAACTGCAAACTGCCCCCTACAGAAGTACTCTAATATATTCCTCCATCAGGATGAATGAACATTTATGGTTAGAAGCTCCATGCAACAACTCATGGTGATGGGAGAACAAGGTTGACATTTTCTTAACTGACCAGCAGATTTTTATATTTATATTGCAGTTACAAACTCGACCACCTGGTGGCAGTAAAAGGCTGACTCAACATACTCACATGTATGTGGCCGCTACCCTCCACTTCCATGCACTGTGAGTCAGGGACAGTTCTGACAGAGAAGGGGGAAGAAGAAGACAACATAAAAACAAAGCTATTACACATTACTGATGTTTGACTGTGTGTTCACACCTACTGTGGTGCTGAAGATGCGGCTGCTGTTTCCTCTTTGAGATATATCTTTGATGTTCCTCTCCCAAAATGAGACGCTGAAATCAAAGCGTCATGTCAACCTCAACAAGAAGGTCGCTCTCGTTTGTGTAAAAAAAAAAAAAAGTTTCAATCAGCATTCACCACCTCTTTCACACGCTTCAGCGCTGAAGCCCCTGAAGACGTCCCCCTCAAACTGCTGCTCGGTGTCTGACTGGTTGAGAGCGAACTCCAGCGTGAGCTCCGTGTCCTCTAATTGGTTGAGAGAGAAGGCAACGTCGTGTCTCGTTTGGCCCCAGGCCTCTGTCCTGCTGTAATAACACACACATACACACACACGTGTATGTGTTGGGTGCTTACAAAGAATGACAAGAGAGGAAAAAGTTCATTTGAATTCTAGTCGTCGTTCTCACTGTGGCTCGGGACTTCTAAACAGGACTCTGGCCGCTGTGGGGGTCTTCAGGTGGTAGAGGGGTGGGTTTGATCCACAGGACCAGGGGATAGGGTCCGTCATACCTCTGGGCTGGGAGAACGGCTGGAACTAGAGGAATAAAATCAGCTTGGATGTTAAAGTAGCACCGTATTTGGGAAGACGCAGTCACATTTTAATGCTCAAACCCTCATCGGAGGTCTTAGTTAGCTCGTGACGCTATTTCACATGAAGCTGATCGTAAACTTCTTGAATGCAGATTGATTGTAGTTTGCACATAGTAAGTAAGGCCTATGAAGCTACATGTGGAGTCAAATGTCCCCATGTCTGTGTGCATAATGTGATTATATTAATGTGAGATATACTAATAACAATATAGTCTTTTCCATACCGTGGTCTGGCCCAGCACTGCGCTGTCCCACGGTGGAATGGAGCAGTGGGGGGGTGGCGGTGCCTGCTTCTGGCTCCTCTGCTGCGGGGGGAATATTCCTGAGGAGACCAGTTTGATTTGGCCTAAATTGACGGATTTCATGCAGATTAAAAATGCACAGTCACCATTGTGTATAATTCAATTTAGAGAGTACGATCTACAAAACATTGTTTGCAACACCACCTTGGCCTGACGAAGCTGAAGAGGTGGAGGAGAAGGGGCTGAGGGGGTCGGTCGTGGGAGGCAGGTAGTCAGACGCGCTGTTGTCTGAGAAAGCCGACTCCAGCACTGGTGACAGCTGGGGATCAGACGAGTGAGTGACTATTTAAACCAGAGGGTCCTTACAGTAGATTAGATCTATCCATCTATCTACACAGAAGGGGCGTTTACAGAAGAAGAAAAAGTGCAATACCAATAGCTGGGAAAGTGACTAACCTGCCCGCACTTGAAGCCTTGAGGAATAACATGCTTTCTTTTTCTCTGTCCTTGAGCGCTAGATATTGAAACAGAATATACACAACGAATGTTGGTAATGCATTCAGTCTTGAGGTGATGGATAATGTTTGGGCTGCAAGATACTGGCTTTATATGGCTAACAACTACCTATTGGACCATTAATTCACAGGCCGGAGGGCTCAGCACTTGAATACCATGTTTTGAAGTCAGTATCTACCACTCATGCAAGTTTGGAAATTGTATTTTGATGATTTTTTTTTGGTGATGCTGACAAAAACAGATGTGACAACAATATAAACCATCCTCCAGCTCTACCTGAACTGAGGCTGGCCCTCAACAAGAGTCAGCTTTGATGGAGAGCAGGGGCTCATCGGGAGCACCAGGGGCCCACTTCTCTTGTGCTTACATCTTTCTTTATAGCTGCCAAGAACCGCCACTTTTGGAGGATCTGTAAAAACATTGTTGACTGATAATAACCATAAGTACCATTCATTATGCTCCTGAACTGATTCTTTAGTTTGATGTTTGGTAACCATAACCGTTGACTAATAATGTAAACGTCTAGTTTGTAATTCTCACCTTTAATTTCCTTCTTAGCAGCGATCTGGTTGACGATGAACAAAGTCACGAGGTCCATGCTACCAGAGCTCGTTCCTCGAGGGGATGCTGGCAGAGCCAATCCCAAGTTTTTCAACTTTTGTTGCATTTTTCTCTTTTCAAAGAACTCCTGGGGGAAACAGCAACACAGGGACAGTTAGCTAAAAGTATAGTAGTAGTTTATATATTTTGTGTTTTAAAGTTATGGACATTTTATTTAGCTGTCACACCCTCTGTTTCTTTGCATCATTCTTCACCGCGAACCGGTTCCTGCAATGACAACGTTAACGTTAAATAGTTTAGCTAACGTTAACATTAGCACGTCAACTAACGACATTAACTAAACAGTAACACTCCTCCTCTCTTACCGCGAACCCCCGACCCAGTTCATCCCCAACGAGTGTAACTGTCAGTGATGGAAACTTCAGGGTGGTGAAAACAACTCCCTCACAGAGCATTGGTAACGTTAGCGGTTAGTTAGCTTAATGGTTTTGCTAGGTAAGTTAGTAACAAGCTCGTACTGGAAATATAAAGAGATGCGCGAGGAACAACCACTATCCTTTCACGCGCCAATTGTAAAAGTTCATAAATGTGTATTAACCATGGTCTTAACGCTCATGTCTTTTAACCACTTGTGTAAAAGATATCAGTAGTCAATGTTGCTTCCAACAATATATTTTTTCCTGGATACAAAATCACTGTATGACATATGTTATATCATAAATTACAGTAGATTACAGACTACTTTGTCACGTCCATCATGCAGCCAATCGTCGTCCTGTGCCGGGGGCGCGACCAATGAGAAAAGGCTAATGATCAGAGGCGGAAATAAGAACCGCCGAGTCGTCAGTTTAAAAAAACTACAGTAACTCCGGAAGTTAGGCAAGTTAACTTAACAAAATAAAACCACACATTTGACTGCACGGCTCATATTGCCACCTGCTCTAAGGAGAGTTGACCTTGAGTTTTATTTTGACAAGTGCAAACCGGAAGTACACCTAGTGTAGTCTGTCTTGCTTGACCACGGTGGAGAAAAATAGCAGGATGTAGCGGTACATTTATCGGGCTCGCTTCATATCAATCCAACCACCAGAAGTCCGTCTCTCTATTTATGTCGACACGGTGAGTCGGGTTTGGGGGATGGGTAGTGCTAGGATTGCCAGCAGGGACGACTAACGTTTGACAAAATGTCCAACATCCTCGATGTGGTGTCCAAAGTAAAATGGGACCGCACGACTGCGGCGAAGCGAGCCGTGTTTCTCGCGGCTGCCGCGTACGGCGTCAAAACACTGTACCCCATCCTCTACAGGAAGCTCGGCAAAAACAAAGACCCCAGGAACAATCACCGGGTTTCGAAGGCGGAGAACTGCTCCACCTGTTTGGTGAAAACACAGACATGTGCCGCGGGTCACAAGCAGCCGTCCCCCGGGGTAAATGCGGAATTCTTCAAGCAGATCCTCGAACTTGGTAAAATCCTCTTTCCCAAGCTCGTGTCCAAAGAGCTCGGGTTGCTCTCCCTGCATTCGGTAGCGCTGATATCGAGGACGTTTCTGTCCATTTACGTGGCCAGCTTGGACGGGAAGATTGTCAAATCGATAGTGGAGAAGGATCCCAGGAGCTTCATCTTCCAGCTGATGAAATGGCTCCTCATCGCCATCCCGGCCACGTTCGTCAACAGCGTCATCCGGTACCTGGAGTGCAAGCTGGCTCTGGCCTTCCGCACCCGGCTGGTGGACCATGCCTACCAGACCTACTTCACCGACCAGACCTACTACAGAGTCAGCAACATGGACGGGAGGCTCGCCAACCCGGACCAGTCTCTCACCGAGGACGTGATGATGTTCTCCCAGTCGGTGGCCCACCTCTACTCCAACCTCACCAAGCCGATCCTGGACGTGGTGCTGACCTCCTACACGCTGATACAGACCGCCAGGTCCAGGGGGGCCAACGCCAGCGGGCCGACCCTGCTGGCCGGCCTGGTGGTCTTTATCACGGCTAAGGTCCTGCGCGCCTGCTCGCCCAAATTTGGCAAGCTGGTGGCGGAGGAGGCTCACAGGAAAGGCTACCTGCGCTATGTGCACTCCAGGATCATTGCAAACGCCGAGGAAATCGCTTTCTACCGGGGACACAAGGTATGCGTGGCTGGATGTGGAGAATGTTGAGGTTACATTTGTTGTGGCAGGCGTGCAGCAATAATGCAGGCAACAACGTGGTGGTATTTAATTGTGACCAGTACAGAATGCAACCACAATAGTAGATTCTCCATTAATAGATCAGCTAGTCTGTTTCTGACAGTCTGAATGTGCATCATTACATTTATGTCAGACTACATATGAGTTAACCGTATTAGACAAATATGACAATTTAGTTTTCTTTACCCTCCTTTCCAACCTTCGCACTTCCACAAGTGAAATCCAGGTATAAACATGAGATATGAGATTATCATTATTGCCCACATCAAATCACAGAGTTTATATAGGGCCATAACACCTATACGTGAGTGTAATCAGATTGATAATCACACACAATCAGGCAGTTGGTGAGGACTTTAGTCTATTTAGGTTCATGCTTAACTGAAGGGTCACATCCCCAAACAACCTTGCATCAGAGGAAGGCAGGAAGTGACTGCGTGCTGCCTGTGTGTTGTGATACGTTTTGTCCTGTTTTTTTGCAGGTGGAGATGCGTCAGCTGCAGAAGTGCTACCGGGCTCTGGCGGACCAGATGAACCTGATCCTGTCCAAGCGTCTCTGGTACATCATGGTCGAGCAGTTCCTCATGAAGTACGTGTGGAGCTGCTGCGGGCTCGTCATGGTGGCCGTTCCGATCATCACGGCTACGGGCTTCGCCGACAACAGTAAGCGAGGCCTCAAAGTGCCCCGCGGCAAAACCGTGCACTCACAGTAGTTTGCTTCACCCTGTCACTCGCACATTTCACAGTGCACACGAGGGTTCATTAGCATCTGCAGAAACCAAACAGCTTCCTCTTCAAGCAGGGGGGCTGATATGCATGTGTGAGAACCAAAAACAAAGCTACAACTGAGTCCCCTTTTGTTTGTTGGTGAGCACTACTGCCGTGCCATGTTCCCAGTGTCACTGCTGATATTTAAATAACTTATTTCCATGGCATTCTAATGCTGGTAGGCGCACGCGTGAGAGTGCGTTGTCGATGGGCTCACAGGACAGAGATGCTGAATTGCAGTCTGTTGTCTCTCCCCCCCCCCCCCGTCCACTTTGTCTCCCGCTAGAAACGGCAGACGGGCGCACGCACGTGATGGTGAGCGAGAGGACGGAGGCTTTCACCACCGCCCGCAACCTCTTGGCCTCAGGCGCCGACGCCATCGAGAGGATCATGTCCTCGTACAAAGAGGTGAGGACGCGGCAGGCTGAAGTTCATGTCACTTTGCGTGTTTTCTTCAGTTAATACAATGTGTTCTCTCTCCGTCTGTGCTTAAGAGGATCTCCCTCTTTTCACTTCAACACACTAACGCTTCAATACTTGATAGCGACACAAAAGTCATTAGAAATGAAAGGTTAGTTTCTGCAAATGCACTTGATTGACACTTAAGGGCTACAAAACAAACAAACCCATAGCGAACAGCAAATTTTTTTTTTTTACGATCTTGCCCTGCATCTCACAGTTAAGAAACAAGGTAATGCTGAGTTATCTAAATCAGATTCATTGACCTTGCTTTTGTTATGCCGTTCGACACCTTTTGAATGTAGATGTTGTAAAACTATAAAGGACCTTTTTCCTCCCGTCTTGATAACTGCATCGCTTGTTTGGCCATGAGGACAATTAGTTGATCAGTCGATAATCAGTTAATCATCAAGTAATTCTTTGAGCAGGAATGTTCACTGGTTGTAGCTTCTTTAATATCTTTTGAGTTGTAGACTTTAATCAGATAAAAAAGGGCATTGGAAATGCGATGGGATTTTTTTGGGGGGGATCTTTTGAATAGATCCGATGATTCACAGATGAATCCAAAGATGTGTTGTATTTTATTTCTATCCTTTTTATGTGCGTATGTGTTTCTAAAGACGACAATTTTATCCGGCTAGAGTTTTCGATAATCACAGGACGGACAGATGCGCGAGCGTGGTCGGGGTCACTTCATTGGCTCGGGGGGGGGTTGAATGGAGAAGCGGTGCAACAGATGGGCGGCCGGATGAATGCACAGCTTGGCCGAGTGATTGACAGATGCGTACTGTGTCGCCGTGTCTCTCTCTCTGCATGCCCTCGTGTGACGCTCACTGTGCATGCACTGGAATTTGTTTGAGTCCCGACGGAAAAAGCAAAAGAATCGCCGAATGAAAGGCCTCGTTCATCGAGGGCCAAATCCCTGATCTCTCGTTGCATTTTAATCTCTCTCTCTCTCTCTCTCTCTCTCTCTCTCTCTCTCTCTCTCTCTCTCTCTCTCTCTCTGTCTCTGTGTGTGCCTGGAGGATACAAGTTTTAGCCTGCGTTTCGGGCTCCGGTCTGGGTGTGCGTCGAGTGCAGTGTTGTTGTTGTTGTTGTTGTCGTCGTCACATGTGCGGCAACTAGCAAGCCTCGGCACGCAGGGCCTAGAGATGTGTGAGTGTGCAATTTAACAGGAATTGGGAAAGGAGCACATTCCTCAAGCTGCATGCCCTGCACACGCCTCCAAACACTCTGCTTTAATTGGTGTGTGTGTGTGTGTGTGTGTGTGTGTGTGTGTGCGCGCGTGCGTGCGTGCGTGCGTGCGTGCGATCAGATGACTCTATGACTTCACTTCTGCGTTACTCATCTTGAAGACTCAGATTTGCTTTCTGTTCTTCAAAGGCCTGTTCTGTCCCCCGGCTAGATTTGAGCTCTCGCGATTAGCTTTCTGTGGTTATTGTTGTTTTCGTTTCCTTTTTATGTTAACAGTTGGAAGTCAACAATTGCAAAAGGGGGTCTCAAAATCCAATATTTATCTGGATATTTCGTACAATTTACTCATGATTGTTCAACAAAAAGCTTTGCAAGACTCTTACAACAAAAGCTGTTTAAAGAGCAACTTATGTTTGTCTTAAGAGATCTTAAGAATAGTATCAGTTCGGGAGGAGGCAGGACGAACCCGTTCATAAATTAATTCACTGGAGTGTAATTCAGAGGTAATGATTTGGGTGAAGTTGGTCCTCTGACATGCGTTAGGTTGCCTTAGATCGAGAAAAAAATGGGGGGGAAATTAACACGGAAACCTTTTAATAGGCACCAGTTCTTCAGGATTGAATCTACTGCCACCCTGTAGGTCAGCCAGCAGTGAATCCTGCTGTGTGTGTGTGTGTGTGTGTGTGTGTATATGTGTGCGTGTGTGTTGATCCCTCCCTTGGGGCTTAGCCTAGCTGTGAATAATCTTCCATCTGTTGCTCTTTCAGCCTGCACTTCTGCATCTCTTTCTCACTTTCCTCTGCAGCATGCGCTCAAACGCTGTTTAGGTCAGGTCTGGTCGGATGTTATCAACGACGGATCCCAATCATTTCAGAGTAGTAATTATATTACTCTATTCTGTGTTTGGACAAAATAAAGTTATGCAGTAGACGGAGTAGTGATAGGGATGGTGTGTGGGAGTTGTAAATCAGGCAGCCGTCTCTACAAATCTCTTTAGTTTACATGCATATGTGAAGTAGTTATCAATGATAAAATATATGATTATCTAAGTGATGATCAGTTACTTTCAGTAGCTGTGGAGATGTATTCGGAGATAAGAGACGAACAAAGAGGTGTGACATCACTTCTTTTTGTGTCTTCATATCCACGCTGAATAATAGAAATAAGAAAAGTACTGCATAGAATACTGCAATAAGCTGTTGAGGGTGTTTTAACAATAAATATTTCCCTCAACCATTTTTTATGAGAAAACACAATCAGTCCTCCACTCTTCCCTCTCCCCCGTCCCTCCCTTTTTTGGACATGTTTCATTTGGTTTGTGGTTTTCTGTCGTTCTTCTCTGAGCCAGTCACATCTCTAAAGCCCCACCTGGTGTCCAGGAATTCCCAGAATTGGGGTTTGTTGATTCATGTAATCAAGCTGTGTCAACAGCCTGCATTGTCTCACCGCAGGGTACAGCGCTCAAGCTGAAGCAAGAGGCTGATTTCTTTCCCTGTTTATTTCATTTTCCCCTCATTTGAGCCTCGTCGGTTGCCGATAAAGATATCTATTGAGCTCCTTTTCCTTTTCATACCTTAATGCATTTAGTGTTTATCCTGTGTTTACGTCATTTTGGGCTGTCTTCCACCATTGCCTTATTATCAATGTGATTTATATTTTGTTTGTTTTATCATAATGTGTGTAATTCTGAATATACTTTTTTCCATTCACCCATCTCTCAAAGACCATCACACATTATGTACAGCAGCCTTTTCACATCAGTGTGGGTGTCAATGTGCAAACTGAAAACAAACAGAAGAACTCGCAACTCTGAGAGATTACAACTGATCCAAGAGTAGTAGTATACAGTACCACACTGTTAAACATTGTCCTGCATGCACTTACACACTCTAACGCAGTGGATTTTGGATTTAATTGATCAGTTTATCCATTATTTCTAAACTATTTCAACTGTTAATTCTTTAATTTAGCCATCCATTTCAACTACACATTACTTTTAGTTAGCTAAAAGTAATGAAAAAATGTTTTAAAAAGCTAACTGTTTCAGCAATATATCCGTCACATTTCGCAAACTATTTCAACCACTTAGCTATCTATTATTTTTAGTCAACTATTACAAAATCTATTTCTTTAAGCTAACTATCTAAACCATCTAGATATCCATTATTATTAGCCAACCATTTAAAACAAATCCTGACTTTAAGCTAACTATTTCATTTAGCTGTCCATGCTTTTTAAGCTAACTGCTTTTAAAATATATACTTGACTTATGTCACTTTGGCTAACTATTTCACCCATTATTTTTAGTTATTTCAACAGTTTGTCCATTAAGCTTAGATAACTATTTGAACTGTTTACTTTTAGCTATCAATATTAAACATTTATCCATTTTAGCCTTAAGCTAACTGCTAACTTGTCTGCTCGCTTGCTAGCTAGTTTTCACCAACTCTCAATGGCAACATATACTGTTTAGGTGTCACAGGTGACTCAATATGTGTATATATATTTTTTTCTCATATTGTAATGACTATTCAAATGAGTGAATCTACTCAACTGCTTTAACACACACACATACAGTCAGTGAGTTTTTCATCAGCACATGACCGGGACCTGTATCTGGTCCTATCTCGGGTTGCTCTGACTTTACCGCGCAATAACCTTTGACCCTTCTGTGTTTGTCGGGACAGGTCACAGAGCTGGCGGGCTACACCGCGCGGGTCCACAACATGTTCGTGGTGTTTGAGGACGTCCAGAGGGGCGTTTACAAGCGCTCCTCTCTATCAACAGAGACTGGGTCAGAGAAGAAGAGCAAGCCTGAGATGCACATAGACGGACCGCTGGAGATAAAGGGTAGGCCTGATCTGCTGTACGCCCAAACCTCCTCCTGTGTTAACACCAACCGAAAGAGAGAAATAGGTCGTCACCACACACACACACACACACACACACACACACACGTGGCAAACTTTTACCACTTCTGCTGTCTGGAGCAGGGGGCGAGCTAGTGGCTTTGTTTAGTTAGTCACATCGCATTGTTTGAACTTGAATAACACCACATCCCCATGACATCCACCGGATATTTTCAACCCCTCTGTCCACAATGTTTTTTTTTTTTAATGCGATACCCTATAGTGGTATCAGTCATTACGCCAACACCAACATTAGCAACAGTTTTAAGATACACTTTCTGTCCAAAGTTTAAGCAATAAGCCAAACCCTCTTTCTGGGGCAACTTGCATAAGCAGACATTCCTAGATATGATATTACACACAATCAACAGTATCGAGGTCAAAGGTTGGAGTCATTGCACATCCATCCTTGTGTAAATGTCCATTTGACCCTAAAAGCAAACTCCTGTTACATTACATTACAGTCATTTAGCAGACGCTTTTATCCAAAGCGACTTACAATTCAGAGTCTATCACATTTCTACACCGTAGGCACAACTACGGCTGCAATTTTAGCAATGTTAGAGAGCACAGTTCAGCTAACAGATGAGTGGTAAAGAGATTTTGTTTTTATTTTTAACCTCATAATTCCTACTCTGTAGTATTATCCACACGCTTATGGATCAACTGAGTCTAATCCTCAACTTCTGCTCTCCATTCACCACCATTCTATTTTTCCCTCTCTGTGTCTTTCTCTCTTTTCTCTGTTCAGGTCACGTGATAGACGTGGACAAGGGCATCGTGTGCGAGAACGTCCCAATTATCACGCCGAGTGGGGACGTGGTAGTGTCTTGCCTGAACGTTAAGGTGAGACGGCTCCACCCTCGTCTCTTCTGGTCCTCTGTATTCTGAGCATTTCACTTCATAGCTGCACTCTTTTTCTTATTAAAATGGACTAACGGATTAAATAAAAGCAACCAACATGGTCATTTAATCTCTAGCACCAAACTCTACTTAACAGTACCCATGATGCATTTGCAGGCGCTGTCAGACTCCCCGAGGGTTGTTTCGGTCTATGTGGAGTTTATTAACATTTCTGAAGAGTCCTCTGTGGTCTCGTTAGGAAACAGATGAACCCTTTGGGTTTTAACGATGTCTTGCTCCCCTCACCTTTTTGCTGGGAGTGTATTGTGGCGCTTAAAATTACAGATCAACGCTGACAAAACAGTGAAATGTCACTTTTTTTTTAACATTTCCGTTGTCCTTAATTCTCATTTGAGGTTTATACAGCTGGTGACATTGAGCTGGTAGATAGCAGAGTCTGTGCTAATGCCCACAAGTTTCAGACTATATGTAAAGGTCAACGTTCAGCTGCTCGCTCCTTTTTCCTCATAGTGTAAATATAGATATATTTAGGATACCTCCCAACAGTTTGATCTGACTTCAAGCTGAAGCTCAGAATGGTTCAAATACAGAGACAAGACAGATAACTGAAATACAGTGTGTTCTCTCTGAGGAGACATTTTGTCTGAGTTATACTGTGGTTTGACTCACCGTACAGGGCATTAACAGAGTCCCTCTTTATTCCAGGTGGAAGAGGGCATGCACCTGTTGATCACGGGGCCTAACGGCTGTGGGAAAAGCTCTCTGTTCAGGATCCTCAGCGGCTTGTGGCCCGTCTACGGCGGCCGCCTGTACAAACCTTCTCCCCAACATATGTTCTACATTCCTCAGAGGTATACACACACAAACACACACTTTACTTTTTTTTTTTTTTATAAATAGCCCACAGCTGTGAGTTGTAACAAAACAACTGTACTGCTTAACTATTGTAATGGTGAGCCCTACAAGTAATCTAAACCATGTAACAAGACCTGTGTGTGTGTGTGTGTGTGTGTGTGTGTGTGTGTGTGTGTGTGTGTGTGTGTGTGTGTGTGTGTGTGTGTGTGTGTGGGGCCGACAAAGAGAAACCAGAGCTCTGGCCACAGTGAAATATTTACCGCCCAGACCAGGCTTCAAGTACTTTCAATTACAACATTTCTTTGTTGTACTTTTCCCGTCATTTGACATTAAGTTGAGCATCATCAGTGTACTAGAGTCAGCCATGTGTCCCCAGCGTGCATCTCCTGCTCCAGTGGTTTGATCTGAAAGGTGGCTAGAATAAAGTCACGACTGACCTTTTTAGGAATAAAAAAAGTAATGAATGTGGGCTCTGACATTTTATGGACCAACTCGATGAGTGAAAATAATTGTGAATTGCAGCCATAAATAACATGAAGCGTTGAAACGCAACATGTATTGACGACACACATGGGCGATTGTGGCGTCGATGCTCTTAACGGGTTAAGATGAGCGATTGATCCTCTCCTTAATGTAGCGGGAGGACTAAACTGAACCCATCTTAGACAAACTATCAAATGTAATCTTACCCATGGTCCCTCGGAGCCGCTGACTCCCTCCTGCAGAGCAGTGAATATTTTATACACGGGACGAGACGGCCACCTGGCAGCTGTAAGAGAATCCAACACAGCATCTACAATAGATGCATCAGGAGTGTAATGGGTGTCTTTCTCTCTCAGTTCTTGTTCCTAAACATGTTCCTTTTGTATACACACACACACACACACACACACACACACACACACACACACACACACACACACACACACACACAGCTGTTGTTGTCAGCTGTGTGGAGCACTTAATGAAATGAGGGGTTTGAAAGGAAACACTCAGTGGATAAGGTGTGTGTGTGTGTGTGTGTTTCTCTCCAGGCCATACATGTCCATAGGTTCACTGCGGGACCAGGTGATCTACCCGGACTCGGTGGAGGACATGGCTGCCAGAGGCCTCGCTGACAAGGACCTGGGCACCATCTTGGACATAGTCAACCTCTGCCACATCGTCACCAGAGAAGGAGGTAGGACAGTACTGAAGACACCTCTCCGAGTGTTCTGAGGGAAAATAGGAGGCTGAAGAATTTAGAAAAAACTAAAATAGCTCGGGTAACACTTTCCTAAACCTTCTTAAACTAGACAAGCTAACCATCAGACAAGATCGTCACCAACCAGACGAAATAACTAGACCGATGAAGCATCATGGAAGAACCAAACATCATCTAGTACAAATAACCATCAGGCAAATTAAGAAATAATGCGGACAAAATAACCATGAACTAGTCAAAATTGACCAAATAACCACCAGACAAAACTAACAATCAGCTAGACACGATAACTAGACAAAACCATCCGACACATCAGAATTGAGTACTTGACAGCGGGTCAGGTTTTGGCTTCTTCCTCCAGTGTTTGACTTTGAAATCAATAAAATGCTTGCAGAACTTTTCCCCCCCTGCACAATTTAGCCACAGAGCTAAGTGTTTCTGAGATCAAACAAACTAGGTTACGTACGTGCAAAAGCCAGACTCTTGATGCTGTAACACTCTGGCATTACCCGTATTGCCTAAACTCGAGTGTGCGGTTAATTGGCAGCCGCTCTCCTCTCATTACCAAACAAACAGGCCTATTGTTGTGAGCCGACGGTTCCACGAAGCTTAGAGCTGCACACCGGGGTTTAACGTATGAATGGCTGCACTGTGGGGGGGGAAAAAAGGGTCTCGATCGAGCTCACGCATATTGCAGTCACTGGATCGCCCGTCGTGGATGTTGCCACGCATGCAATATAAGTGCAAAGAATTTCCTGTTCAGTCTTAGAAAGAAACTAAAACAAATGCCACACAGAAAAGTTGTCCGCCGTCTGTCTGCACAGACTGGTTAAACCTTTTAAGAAAGCATCATGCCTCTCATGCTGCTCCTCTCCTTTGTAATCACTGTTGGTATGACGGCTTCATAGAAGCAGTCTGTATAACCTGTCTGTTAACATTTCGATTATTTATGTAAGAGACCTAATGTCTTCCAGAGTTTTCCCATCATGCTCTAAAAATACTGGTTGGGACATCTTCGCCCCTCATATGGATTATGTCAATAGCTGCTCTCAACATCTTTATCCACCGTCTTTAAAGGGATCGCGTTGTGCAGCGAGTGTTTCTCGCGGTTGTGTAACGTCTTCTTTTGTGTTCAGGCTGGGATGCTGAGCTGGACTGGAAGGACGTGTTGTCAGGAGGCGAGAAGCAGAGGATGGGCATGGCGCGCATGTTCTACCACAAGTAAGACCAAGCGGACAGTTTCTCCCCCCCCGGAGTCCGGCGCCCGCTACCGGGGTCGAGATTTGACACTCAAGCCTCAGCTGCACGCTTTGTTTATTTCTAGTCAGCAAAAAAGAAAATGTGCATGCTAACACGCTACTTTGCACATGTGGATGATCTCGCTAATCAAACCATAATCTCATTAGTCGCTCACTGGGCGGATAGCACTTATTAAAACAATGCCCCCCCCCCCCTCCCTGTTTACCAGGCCTATGTATGCGCTGCTGGATGAGTGTACCAGCGCTGTGAGCATCGACGTGGAGGGGAAGATTTTCCAGGCCGCTAAGGACGCCGGCATCTCTCTGCTCTCCATCACACACAGACCCTCCCTGTGGTAAGACACGCCTCACAGATGATCTTTCTAGTCCATTAAATAAAAGAGGAATTGTATTACATTGTCTTCCAGAAATGTGGTGGAGAGAAGCTCAGCTTTTTTTTGTGAAATAAGAGTTTTCCTACAATTCGACCCACCGTAAAGTTGTAAACACGATGTGCACACGCCGGTCCCTCTCTCCACACCTCAAGTCCTTCCTCTTCGCCCCCCCCACCAGGAAGTACCACACCCACCTGCTCCAGTTCGACGGGGAGGGAGGCTGGCACTTCGAGCAGCTGGACACGGCGACGCGTCTCTCCCTCACCGAGGAGAAGCAGCGGCTGGAGACCCAGCTGGCCGGCATCCCCGAGATGCAGCATCGCCTCAACGAGCTCTGCAAGATCCTGGGAGACGACTCTGTCCTCAAAACAGCCGAGGAGTGAGAGGAGGAGGAGGGGGAGGGCGGGGGGAGGGGAGGCCCAGAGGGGGTAAAGAGTCAAGGAGAGAGGGGGGGTTCTTTGAGAGACATAGAGGCAATGAAAGAATAAGAAATCTGTAGGGGTTTGTTGGTTTTATCTTCAGGCTTAGTTTCTTTTCTTTTGCTTGTTTAGATTTTCCTCTCTCGCTCCAAGCCTCTCCTGTTGAAGCAGCAGAGGCTCTTCATGCCAGTCTTTCAGCTCTCCTTCTCTCCTCTTCCCTCTTCTTTCCATCCCTCCTTTTGAGAGGTGGAGGGAGGGGAGGAGAGTGAAGTGGATTCACCAGTATTATCCCCTCTTCTTGCGCACATCGGGGTGCATTGCTCGGTCGTAGATTTTAAAAGAAAGTTTGGTTTTTAGCGCACGTCATTTATTAAGAAAAAGAAAATCCAAATTAACTGAGATAATTTATTTGTTTTGTTTTGTTTTATAGCACTTTAATCTGCTTTTAGAGGGCTGTTTCCATTTGTTGTGCCAGCTCACAGTGAAATCAGGTGATAGCTGCATTTATTTCGCTGGAAAACTTTTAAATGTAGAAACGCATAACGATGTCCGCAGCAGTATTCCACACCCTGTGTACTGGGTTGTGCAGGATCCACATTTGTCATAATTTTCGATTTTAGTTTTTACTGAACTCAATGTTACCTCTTCATTTTTTTGAGGTCAAAAGAGACTATTTTTGTTTTTCCTGATGTCACGATATGCCTTTGTTTGGTTCTGTGTGTCTAGTCGCAGTACAATCCCTCTCCTTATACGTCATCTCAGCCCTCGTTAGGACCCTCAACCACAGATGTGGGCTCAGTTGCAGACGGCAAAGAAGAAAACTACGGAGCCCACCGCCGGGTCTATTATCAGAGCGATTTAGTGACGCGGCTCTGACTCCAGAATTATAGCTTTCTGGTTTATTAAACAAACACAATTAGCTACGGAGGCCCTCTTCAAAAGAACAGGAGCCAAGAGCAAGCTGACCCCGGTAGTCTATAAATAGTCCCACATGTACTGCACATGGGTGAGCAGGAAGTCATTCAGACTATGTAACTGCCAGATACAAGTACACGCATTGGCCACCTGGTGAAGCCC